TATGGTACTGCACCATAGTTTCATAATATTTAAACTCAGTAGTTCAGTGATTACAATACTAATATGATTGTATTTTAATGTTTTACTGTAATACTGTCTTTATGTTGTCCTATTGCTGTAATATATTGCACCTAAGTGTCAATAATTGCACTGGCAAGGTAAACTTTTTCTGTATACATACAATCCAATCCCTGGGATTGTCCTCTGCCACATCTCCTATAGTCTCATGATGAGCACTGTGGGCTTTCATGCAAGAGATCAGGGTTCAAATCCAGCTACTGCAACTTTAACAAAACTCTCTTCAAACTTCATATTGTCACACAATTACCTTAATTACAAACACCTGCTGACGTGACAGGCACAAGCTGGTATAGAAAACACATTTGAACTTGGTCAAAGTTTATTCTGAAAGTCCAATGCTCCTGCATACATTGTCCTACAGCTGCCATTGTACTTTCTATCTGTGAAGGTCCTGTGCCAAATGATTGCTATGCCTTTTGGTACCTGTACAACTTGTAGTTTTTGAAATATCAGTGTTGAAACTTATTTCCAAATTCATATAATAGGAGTCAATGGGGCCTTGTAATGGTCCAATACTGCCCCCAGCTGTACTCAACTTGGTACTGCACCATAGTTTTTTTTATTTGATCTCAATAGTTCAGTGTTTACAATACTAATATGATTGTATTTTGATGTTTTACTATAATATTGTCTTAATACTTCTCTATTGTTGTAATATTATGCAGTTTAGTGTCAATAATTGTATTGGCAATGTGGCCTCTTTCTGCACACATACAAAGCAACCCCTGCCACCACCTTCTGCCACAGTTCCATTGGTCTAATAGTCTATGTCATGGACTTTCATGTGGGAGATCAGAGTTCAAAACACGGTTAATGCAGCTTTAAGAAAAAATCTCTTCAAACTTCATATTGTCACACAGTTACCTTAATTACAAACACCTGCTGATGTGACAGGCACAAGCTGGTATAGAAAACATTTTTGAACTTGGTCACAGCTCATTCTGCAAGTCCAATGCTGCAGGCAAAGCCATGCTGCAATGACATGCTACATGGCAATGCACACTTGTTTTTACATCGTAAAAACCCATGTCTAGTTATTATTTGAATTTTTTTTGATGGAAAAAGGCACAGATATTACAAGATTTTTTTCTTCCTTCTGCTGCCTTTCATTTTATTTTATTAGTCATTTGTATTTTTTGTATATTGAATTTGCTTTGTTTTTAAATGAAATGAATGAATAAACTAAACTAAAAGCTACTAAAGTGATGAGAGTTCAGGAGATTTGAAACAATCTGACAAAGTAAATAAAATTTAACAGCTTTTTTATGATTTGTCAGTAATTTGTCAGCCTTAATTAAACTATTTGTACGATAAAAATCTGTAAAATCCATCTGTGCTTTTGTTTTATTAACAGACACTGATCGTTACATCAGCTGTTTGTTGTAATTAAAAGTGTTTAAAAGATTTAAATTAAGAATTTGAGGTCGTTGATTAAAAATAAAGATTTAATCCACACACGAAGCTCAAATTTAGATTTTAATAAAAAAACATCCGATTTTTAATGTTTAATTTTCTCCTTGGTTACCTGTTTGCCGTTCAGGTTGGAGGCAGAAACGACCAGGTGACTCACAGACGTCAAGTCGCCGAGACTCAGAAGCAGGACCTGAGAGGGGGAGACGGGTCTGTATCAGAACCGGAGCAGAACCGGAGCAGACGCAGGAGGTTTTAGGCTCACCTTGTAAGGAGGCAGGAGTTCTGTTCCTGCAGACAGATCCAGGGCGTGAACACTGAGGACACAAACAGCTCTGTCAACACAAACACAAACACACACAGACACACACAGGAAGCTGCGGGAGGAGCTGTTACCATGTCGAGCCTTTCCTCTGCAGGCAGCCCAGCACCCAGCTGCTCGCCTCCTGAACAACAAACAGAGGCTTTAATTGAACCTAAACAGGTTAAAAACCAGAGAACTAGACCCACCAGGTTGTCGCTGCGGCAGTAGAAGTGACTGTAGGCCTTCCTGCGGCTCGACAGGGCGAACAGGAAGTGCTTAGGCTGTCCTTCCTGTGCGGGAGGAAAACATCAGCTGGAGTCTGAAGGCTTTGATGGTGACATGAGTCGAGCGTTCGGTACCTTCGGCGTGCTGTAGGACAGGCGCAGGGTGTTGACTTCACTCCACGCTTCAGGAGGATCTGCGACCAGAGGAAGACGTGTTAAAGAACAGAGTCAGGAGGATGAGGAGGACGAAGACGCTCCGCTCACACCTGACATGAAGACGGACGTCTCCTGACCGTCTCCCTCCATCCTGACGGGATGTCGGATGAAGTGATGCTTCAGCACCGACAGCTTCTTCTCGGGGTTTTCTGTGAACTGTAGAAACAAACAGACCAGCGTTCAGGCGGGTTCTGCTGGACACGGGTCACAGGAAGCGGTTCCGGCTCAAACCTGTCTGGTTTCGGGCTCGACGAGGTCAAAGAAGGCTCTGACGGTGGCCAGAACCAGCTCCTTGCACCTGGAACACAACCAGAGGCCTTCAGCTCATGAAGACCGTCTCAATGATCCCATCYGGTTTAGAGTCTTACCAAACGATGGAGAGGTGGTCTGTGGACACCCACATCCTGGGGACAGCCGTTACCACCAGGGACAGCTTGTTAGGGTCTCCAGGGGGACAGGGAAGGGACGTCAGTCCAGAGCGGACCTGGTAGTCCCGGTGACCACCTCCGACGGACAGAACCGTAACATTCCTGAGCTTGTTGGCCTGGTTGACCCATCTCTGCCTCACCGCCGAGTAGAAATCTGAAAATAAATAAAACCCAGAATGAAACCTGGAGCGTCGCCTCTGAACCTYCAGCCCCACGGAGCCTCTTACCCAGCAGGTACGGGTCCAGACCCAGGACCGGAGCCTGGTGCGGAGAGGCCTGGGTGATGATGAGGCTGACCAGGTGAGGGTTGAAGCGAGGCAGTGTGAAGAGCGCTCGAGCCACCACCCCACCCATGGAGTGACCYACAATCGCCACGCTCTGAGGCGGGGTCTTCAGGTGCTGCGAGGCAAAAAACCCAAAACTGTTAAATATACAATTCTGTAGCGTTGGTACGTTTCAGGGTTTGATGGTTCYGGTTTGATAATTCAAGGTTTGATGTTTCGGGGATTGATGGTTCGGGGTTTGAGGTTTCAGGGTTTGAGGATTCCGGGGTTTGAGATTTCGGGAATTTATGGTTGGGGGTTTGAGGTTTCAGGGTTTGAGGATTCCGGGGTTTGAGGTTTCAGGGTTTGATGGTTCGGGGTTTGAGGATTTTGGGGTTTGAGGTTTCTGGGATTTGAGGATTCCGGGGTTTGACGATTTTGGGGTTTGATATTTCGGGGTTTGATGGTTCAGGGTTTGATGGTTCAGGGTTTAATGTTTCGGGTTTTGATGGTTCAGGGTTTAATGTTTCGGGTTTTGAGGTTTCCGGGGTTTGAGGTTTCAGGGTTTCAGGATTCCAGGGTTTGAGGTTTCGGGAATTTATGGTTGGGGGTTTGAGGATTCTGGGGTTTGAGGTTTCGGGAATTTATGGTTGGGGGTTTGAGGATTCTGGGGTTTGAGGTTTCAGGGTTTGATGGTTCGGGGTTTGAGGATTTCGGGGTTTGAGGATTCCGGGGTTTGATGGTTCGGGGTTTGAGGATTCGAGGTTTGAGGTTTCCGGGATTTGAGGATTCCGGGGTTTGAGTTTTTGGGGTTTGAGGATTTGGGGTTTGATATTTCGGGGTTTAATGTTTCAGGGTTTGATGGTTCAGGGTTTTTAATGTTTCAGGTTTTGAGGATTCGGGGTTTGAGGTTTCAGGGTTTCAGTATTCAGGGGTTTGAGGATTCCAGGGTTTGAGGTTTCAGGAATTGATGGTTCGGGGTTTGATTGGCTGGGGTTTGAGGATTCGAGGTTTGAGGTTTCCGGGATTTGAGGATTCCGGGGTTTGATGTTTCGGGTTTTGAGGTTTCAGTGTTTGATTCTTAATGTCTGACCTTGTAAAGTCGTAGGATGGCCTTGATGCTCTCGTGCAGGAAGTGCGTCTGTCTGAGCAAACTGCCCCCGTACAGAGCCACCAGCTCCTCGTTGAAGTCCACGGTGAACACGTTCAGGTGCATCCTCCCCTCCAGATTCTCAGCCTTCCTCAGGGCCACCGAGCCCAGAGAGCGAGCTTCATGYCYGAGGAAAGGACGGCAGGTAAATAACGGATCCAAAGTGAGGATTTATATTTTCTGATCTGTTCTGAGCAACCATCACAAACTCCCACAGATCATCTCTGAGTTCCCTCACCTTGTTTGTAACTTCCTGCGTTGCCGGGCAGGAAGAGGACAGGTGCACCGCTGAGTTTGAGCGCCCGGGTCTCCTGAGCGTACAGCCCCTCCCCGTACAGGTAGAGCCCGTACGCKGGGTAGAGCCGGGCCACGCGGCGCGGCAGAGACACCCGCTGCCGGGAGGAGGAAACAAGAGATTTCACAGATTATTCAGATTAACACAACACTGTGCTAATATCTCTGAGCCTGGTGTAATAAATGAAATATAAGAGGACAAACGATGAGCAAAATGAGAATTTTACAAAAAAAACAAAGACGTCAGAGAATCTTTACTGAGAAAAAATAGTTCTGACCCGTCTGAGCAGGAAAAAAAAAGCAGAAATTTACATTTTATTCAGATTAGAGGATTAAAGAAGTCGTTAAAAACAAAAATAATTGTGTTTCTGTGACAAATAAACTATTTAAAACTGGTTCTTTGTGAAAAGTCTGGAGCCCTCATTTCCTGTCCCACAGAAAACATGTTAAAAAGCTCAAATCATCACCGAATATTTCTACAAAAAACATAAATAGGAGCAGAATAACGACAATAACAATCTCAAATAACCAATTTATTGTCTCAGTTTTTATATTGTGCAACATTTAAGGTAAATGTGTGTCGTTAGCAGCAGTTTTTAAATTTATTTACACTTCTGAGTGTATTTAAGGACCATGTTTTGGTATTTTATGACATTTGGAGCCACACATCTGGATCATTTTAAAAAAATATTTGAAAATATGTACGCTTGAGACAAAATCTCTTATTTTTTTGTTTTTATATATATTAAAGTTTTGCTGTTTTCCTGCAGAACTAATCAGCTTAATGAGTCCATATTTTATTTATGAGACACCTGTCCTGTTTAAACACCTGTTGAGTTGAATTTTGTTCAGTCTTTTCTGTTTTTATGACCTGGATCAGTTTCTTAATCACCTGATCCYGACCTGGTCGGACAGGTGCCCCGGATGTGTCCTAAAAAGCAGACAGGTGTGAGAGTGGGGCAGGTCACGTGACGGCAGCCGTCAGGCAGCGTTAGCTTGTTGTTTCAGGAGCTTTTCTCTCATGTTTTGTTGTTTCAAACACCGGCAGTGTTTACTCGGTCACAGCCAGCCCTCTGCCTGACACGGAGCTGTGAGTTAAGTTAGTAATTCCGGGTACAAACGGGTGAAATCAGCCGTAGTACTCACCCGGTACTCCGGGTACTCGAACATGTAGGTCATGCTGCATCTGTTCTCCTCGAAGCCAGCCAGCAGCTCCCGCAGGCCGACCACCAGCAGCCCCAGAGCCGACACGTAAAAGGCCGCCCTGGCGAGTTTCATGGTTCGGTTCCGAGCCGGACTCTTTGGTTTTGTTTCACACCCGCCTTACCTCCGGGTCTTCGGTTCCATCTTCAAGCTCTGCGCTCGGAGAGGAGCCGTCCAGTTGAACCAGTTCATAAACAGAGCCACTCACGGGGTGAAGGCGGTGATTGGCAGGAGGCTCGTCCAATCAGAGGAGAGCAGCCGCACAAAGTGACCAATGGGAGAGCAGCAACCGAGTGGCCTTACACACACCCGGAAATGGTTACATTAGCTTTTCTTTTCTCCTAAATAAACATCAGTTTCACTTTTTTTTATTTTATAATCACTTACAAGCTGAATTTGTCGGTAAAACTTATTTATAATTTGATTAAGATATATTTGACATCACGAATGTTGCTCTCATCTACACTTTGTTTTTCCATTGGTTTATGATGATGTCATGTTACCTGTGTGAAAATAAAAGGTGTTCTACAAACCAGGGGGGCAGCAGGAAAGTTACAAATACTTAATTTTAACGCTGCATCATAGTCGATCCTGCTAACAGATACTGGGCTTGAAATAATAAACTAATTTTAATTATTATGTTACTGAATCACTAGGTAGCAGGCGCCATTTTGATAGCTATGCTAAGCTAAAGGAAGCTAACGCATTGGTTTAACTTGATTTTTTTTATTTATCCAGTTAATTGTTGCTTAAATTTAATAATTAAAAATTTAATGTTAAAACTGGACTAAAACAGACAGTAGGCCAATTATTATTATCATTATATATTATTAATTATTATTATTATTTAGCACATAAGACTGAAATGAACCAGGAAGTGTTTCAACACAGTTTGAAACAGTTTTAGTGTCAAAATGTACAGAAATGTTTGATTAATTGTTAATAAATCATAACAGTACGTTCTTATGGTCTAAACAGCAACAGTTTAAATGTGTGTGAAAATCAAAAAGAAATGCAGCATCTTAACAGCACAAGTTTAAACATAAAAAAACAATATTTATTTATCCAACATTCAGATCCACTGTGGTTCCTTCCAGTCATCGTCCAGCCTGGAGTTGTCCCGTCTCCCGCTCTCAGGAGGAATAAACTCCGTTTATTCAAACCAAAACACAGGAGAGTTCTTCAGTTCGCTGCTTTAAATCCAAACTAACTCAAAAGTTTGGAGTACTCTATCCTGGTGATGGTCCAGACTGGAGCCACTCCTTGGGTGAACTCCCTCTGGAATCTGACAAACCAGAAAACAAGAAAGGAATTTYTTTTGGTTGTTTCAGACTGTTTTACCTGTTCGAACAGAAACTGAGTTCAGCTAACGAGACACGATGTCGCTCAGAGAGCTGCAGGTGAGATACTGACTGCTCGTAGGCTGACGTCTAACCGCTCAGAGATGGACTCACTCGTAAATGGCACAGCGGAGTCGCTTGGGTTCTTCATCATCTGTCCCTGCAGACACGTGAACTCCATTAAGTGCCAGATCTTCAGGAAGCGAGGCGCTCGCCAGGTACCAGAAGTGCATCAGGATCCTGACGAACTTCCTGTCTGGAAAATAAAAGCATAAATGATCYCAACCAGACACAAGACGAGAGCATCACAAGACGAAGCAGAATACGCCTGAAGGGATTAAAATACTTTAATCCTAAAGCTTCTTACATTTAATGCACAAGTTTTATTAAAGGTTTTTACCATTTAACAAATAATTTTCATAAAAAGCTTTGATTTGGATCTAATGAAGCCGTAGAGGAGAGGAGATCCTGTGCTGCAGAGGCAGGAGGTCCAGGAGAGAAACACAGACGTCCCTCTCATGACCACAGCTGAGGAGTTAAACTCAGACCAGTAAATCCAGAGCTTTGCCTTTCAACTCAGCTCTTTCTTCACCACGACCGGCCGGAGCGACGCCCTCATTACTGAGCGCGAGGCCCCAGCCTGTCCATCCATCTCTCCCTCCTGAACGAGATCCAGAGGAGTCCATGCTGTGAGACATGTCCCCGAGGTACCGTTGTCGTAGAAGATGCCCACGTCTCTCAGGGTGGTGCTGACGATGCCTTCAGGACCCGCGGACAGAGCCTTCTTACAGCTGGGCGGCAGGGAGCTCCACTGTTGCTCCAGCTTCCCGATCAGCTGCAGGGAGCAGGGCATCAGTGTGACGTAAACATTAAAACAATGACAACAACAAACATGAAAACAACAACAACAACAAACATATAAACAACAGCAATAATAAACATAATATAAACAACAACAATAACAACAAACATATAAACAACGACAATAATAAACAGAAATAAGCAGGAAACTAATGCTGGAAATGGACTCACATCTTCAGCTACGAGTCCGTTCAGAGCTTCGAACTGAGACTGAGACAGAAGGCCGGACACATGAGAGAAGGCCTGGAAGACAGAGCTCAGGGTCCAAACCAGAGCAGAACCAGAACCGACTCATTCATTCTGGTACCGTCTGCGTCCAGGTTCATCTGTTATTATTATGATTATTATTATTAATAATTTCAACGGACCTGCGTCGCTCCTTCTGTGAACTCCTTGATGCTGAAGTCCTTATCGAAGTAGGCTTTGATCAGAAGGTAGTACACCCGAGTCCGGAACCACAACAGTGGGTTGGTGAAGCTGAACACCACGACCTTACTTAGTTTCTTCTGCGAGCTGTAGAGCCGTCCCGCCGTGATGGACGCCCCCGGCCGGGTTCTACAGAACCGGGCCAGCGCCACATTTTGGTTTAAAACCAACCGAGTGAAACTAAAAGCTGAGTTCAGCCTAGAATGACATCTCAACAAGGACAGCGCCATTTTGTTCCCTCTGCTTTCTGTCACTTCCGGTTAGAACAACTAGCATGAAAAGGCCAGCATATTAAAATAACTGACAAGACAGTTAAAATAAACAAAGAAAACCTTTAACCAGTGGATCAACTTTAAGTACTCAAAATATTTTATATTTTAAAACAAACCATTTTTTTATTTCTCACATTCGCGATTCTGTGTGGGGAACATAAATAATGTTACACCAGCTACATCCGCTAACAAATGACTAAAATAAATCGCGTTAAATGGAGCAGCAGSACAAAATATCTGTTCCCATCTTCACTGAGGTGGACAGAGAGGTGTTTCTGCAGCAGATTTATCCAGAGGTGAGATWAAAACAGCTTTCTGCAGAGACTTTACCCAGAATAACACGATAACCGAATTCAGCACTACACCAGCTAGCTAACGCTAACTGTAGATGTTAGCCAACAGATTTTAAAGACATTTAGGACAGCAMTTTTCTTGTTTTTAGACTCTCTATATAATATTACTGTAGCTGAAACCATCAAATAAATTAAACATGTAAACATGAGTGAATTTATAACTTTTAATACTAAAAGATTGAAAGATAAACATGAACTTGTGCCATTACATAAGTGGCTCATGAGTATTTCAGTGAGAACCTGAACAAGTTATAATTAAATGACCTCCTTAGATCTTAAAAAGTTTAATATACAATTTAAAGTCATGATGAATCACAGTGTGTCACTCAGTGAGGCTGGAACCAGTTTCCCACACTGATTTTCAGTTTATTTCTGTTTCCAGCGCAGACCGGCCYTCCTGAGGGGACTGGACCTGGGTCCCTGTGTGGACACATGGACCGCTGAGTACCTTGGACAGAAAGGAGGCGACAGGGAGGTGAAGGTCCACATCTCCTCTGTAGCTCAGATGGACTTCCTTCATAAAAACTTTGTCTACAGGTGAGTTCAAACCTTCGTGTTCTTCTGAGTGAAACTGTTCGGCTGCAGTTTGTCTCTCCTCACAGGACTCTGCCGTTTAACCAATTTATCAAACGAGTGTCGGAAACGAAACACTCTGACTTCTTCCTGTGCGAGGTAAAAACAAAGTTCATGTTTTATTGATTTATTTATTAGTTTCTGACTCAAACTCCTGGATGATTTCAGGATGAGAGCTACTACCTGCGCTCTCTGGGAGAGGACGTCCGCAAGGTACGGTTAACCCATTAACCTCTACAGGGAGGATCCTGTAACTGTTTAAAACAACTTTTCTTATTTAAATTAACGTTTCTGTTGAGTTACCTGGATCCAGACGTTAACGAGCTGCAGGTCGTTTTAACGTCGTCTCCGACAGGAACCGGCCGATCTCAGCAAACAGTTCCCGGACCTGGCCCAGGACTTCCACATCCCGCAGTTCTTTGAAGCGGATCAGTTCTTCTCCAGCGTGTTCCGGATCAGCTCCTGTGGTCTGCAGCTGTGGACCCACTACGACGTGAGAGCTTCAGGGTCMTGGCCTCAGCCTGGTTGTTTTTACTGAGTTTGTTCTCTCAGGTGATGGACAACCTGCTGGCTCAGGTGACAGGAAGGAAGCGGGTCGTTCTGTTCCGCCCCCAAGACGCGTTGCACCTCTACCTGTCAGGTAAGAAGTTCTGGAGATGTTTTCCTTCCCCCCACGACGTTCACCTGTCTAACATGTAATTCGACCCGTCAGGTGATAAGTCGGAGATCCTGGACATCGACGCCCCGGACCTGAAGCGGTTTCCAGACTTCGTGAAGGCGAGGAGGTACGAGTGCGTGCTGGAGCCCGGAGATCTGCTTTTTATTCCCGGTAAGAAGAGCCGTCGCCACAAACCCACCGAGTCCTCTAAAGCTACYCGCTTCACCCGATCCTCGCCTCCTCAGCTCTGTGGTTCCACAACACCCTGGCCCTGCAGTTCGGGGTGGGCGTCAACGTCTTCTGGCGCCACCTGCCCGCCCACAGCTACGACAAGAAGGACCCGTACGGCAACAAGGACCCGGTGGCTGCCGCTCGAGCCCTCCAGGTCCTGGACAGGGCTCTGCAGAGTCTGGACCAGCTTCCGGCGGAGTACAGGGACTTCTACGGCCGGCGGATGATCCAGCGAGTCCAGAGGCGGACTTTCTGTGAGGAGCTGGACTCTGGCACCACGTTACCCAGAAACCTGGATGAGTGCTCAGAATAAAACCTCTCTGTGCCATTTTAACATTATTTATTAAAATATCGTTTTTCATGTAGCTGMTTACGATAAATCCTTTAAAGTTCCTGAGACACYCCMATCCTTSAAAWGCAAAAAGTCAAAGAAAACATCTTTATTCTTAAGAAAATTGGCATAAAACACACGATTTTATACATTTTCTCATAACTGGCCTATTTTCTTTTGAACTTGGCTCTGCTAAAGTGAAACGGGAAGTGACATCAAAGGGGAACTCAATAAAATAAATGTGCTAGTCTGTTTATTAAAACATTGGGCSTCATGCAAGAACATGTTCGTATTCTTATCCTAAATTTCTCTTACTTTTGTTCGTACAAAGGGTTCGTACGAACATGTCACTTACCACCATAAAAACACCATATAAGGTAACGTTTCCTGCCCCAGATACCAGGAAGTGTCCATTCATAAATGACATCGCAAAGTAAAAAAGAAGAACGTTAAGAGTTCAGAGATTGAAGTTCTGCTCTGAGATCCAGAAAAGAAAATCTGTCATTTTTAGCAGCGTCAGCTGTGGAATTAAAGGAGCTGCTAAAGACCAGGAAATGACGACTGCTGCTAATGTCGTGTCTCCTGTGGGTCGTTAGTCACAGAAATAAAAATCTGGTTCATATTCATCTCTCTCTAGTCCTGCTCCGGGTTTCCTTTGGTCAAATATTTTTAATTTAAAGGAGAAGAGCAGTCGCAGACCAAATATATAACTCAAAACTAAATATTTAAGTCACAAGTTAAATATTTATCCATCCATCCATCCATCCATCCATTTTCTTCCACCTATCCGGGGTCGGGTCGCGGGGGCAGCAGCTTCAGAAGGGAGGCCCAGACCTCCCTCTCCC